TAGAGGTGTGGGGAGCGATAGTGCAGCGGTTAGCGCGCTGCGCTATGAACCCGGCGACACGAGTTCGATTCCCGCTCAAGGCCAACACCAGTGACGATTATCTGAACTGGTCCCGGGCCTCCCCTAGGTCGACTCAGCCTCAAATGAGTACCTGGTGCGGTGTGTAAACATTGTCACTAGGGAGACAAAGGCGGTCGGGCGTGGTGCTGGCCACCCACCCCCTCGTGTACCGTTCCGGCCTTCATAGGTGCTCGCTAACAGCACTTGCCCCAACAGTCTGTTAAAGGCTATACGGGGGTTCTTTGTAAGTGTATAGAGGTGTGTATAGAGGGGTGTATGTAGAGGTGTGTGTGTAAGTGTATAGAGGTGTGTGTGTAAGTGTATAGAGGTGTGTGTGTAAGTGTATATAGGTATGTGTGAGGTCCTGGGGGAGGGAAAATCTCTCAGCCAGGAAAACATCATGGCACAAAGTGGGGATAACCCTGCTGAGGCTGCGGTGCCTCAAATATTGGAGGAAGTCACCCCCTGTGAGTGGCTGGCTGAGGTGCCATCTGTTGAGGAAGTACTGAAGGCGATCCGGAGTCTGAGACCAGGAAAGGCACCGGGCAGAGATGATCTCCCAAGCGAAATGCTGAGGGAGGGTGGCGCTTGTGCACAGATTGCCTTATATGACATCATAACAACAGTCTGGACCGCTGGACGGGTACCGCAGGATTGGAAGGATGCCCTGGTGGTCCCCCTCTTTAAGAAGGGGGACCGCACAGACTGTAACAACTACAGTGGCATCTCACTCCTCAGTGTGCCGGGAAAGGTCCTGGCAAGGATTATTCAACATCGCCTTGCTAGGCACGCTGAGGAGAGGCTTGCGGAACCCCAATGCGGTTTCAAGAAAGGGCGGTCCTGTACAGATGCCATATTTTCTGTCCATCTGCTACAGCAGAGGTGTAGGGAATTCCAACAAGACCTTCATCTCTGCTTTATTGACCTGGTCAAGGCCTATGATACCATCAGTAGGCCTGGGCTCTGGGTTGTTCTTCGTGCTTTCGGAGTCCCTGACCCTCTGCTCACGATCATTAAGGACCTTCATGATGGTGAGCGGGCCCGGGTAAAACTACGTGGCCGGGAGTCGGAGCCTTTCCCTGTACACCTTGGGGTGCGACAGGGATGTCCTCTGGCTCCCACATTATTTAACATCTATTTCGACTGCGTAGTTCGTGAAGCCTTCAATAGCTGTACCGGGGGCATTTCCATTTGGTACAGATATAATGGGAGGCTGATCGACGCCCGGGTGCGATCAAGGGATGGCTCCCTATTGGTCAACCACGTTATGTATGCCGATGATTTGGTAATAGCTGCTCATTCAGAAGAGGAGTTCGAGACGCTGCTGCTGAGACTGGAGCGTGCCACTAAGAGGTGGGGCCTTACCATCAGCCCCACCAAAACTAAGCACCTGCCTGGGTATTTTGTACCATCGGACACTCCACCCCCACAACTCCCAATCGGTGATGGGGCAGTAGTGGAGAGAGTGGAGAGTTTCCCATACCTGGGCAGTGTGTTTATGACCGGCTCCAGTTTATCAGCCAAGGTCTCACTCCGAATCAGTCGAGCGGCATTATCTTTTCATCGGTTGCGTAACGCTGTGTGGAAGCTACCTGATCTGTAGCTCCGCACGAAGCTTTAGGTCTTCTCGGCCACGGTCATTCCCTCCCTTCTCTACGCTTGCGAAACGTGGACCCCCCTAATGGAGCATCTTCACCGGTGGGAAACATTTAGGCTGGCCTGCCTAAGATCCATCCTGGGTTTAACAAGGCTGGATTGTGTGAGCTCACAAATCCTTGAAAGATCTGGGCAAAGTCCCATCGGTGAGCTCCTCCGGCAGGCAAGGCTGCGTTGGCTGGGTCATGTAGCCCGCATGCCCAGCTACCGCATGCCTAAACAGCTTTTGTTCGGCCGGATCGAGGGGGCTAAACGGGCGCGGCACGGGCTAGAGAAGAGATGGAGTGATGTGGTACAGGAGGACGTGGAGCTGAGTGGACTTGCCGATGACTGGTACCAGCAGTGTCAAGATCGGCCTCAATGGAGGAGGCTCGTGAAGGACGCTACTGGGCAGTTGGAGGCAGTCGCCCTCCAACAACAACGGAGGGCGGAGGAGCGACGCTCAGAACAACGAGCGGAGCGCCGGGTGGCTAAAGCACAGCAAGTTGGTACGGTAGGGGGCACAGGTGGTGCATCACCCAGTCATCTCGGTCATCTCGGTCAGTCGACCCGTGGCACCTGCTGGGTCTGCCCCGTGACCTCCTGCCAGCGGGCGTTCGACACTTCACGTGGCCTCAAGGTGCACTTGGCCTGGTACAAGCGTCGTGGTGACGTCACCGCCACTTAGTGGCGAATGGCGGTTGTTGTTGTATAGGTGTGTGTGTGTAGGTGTGTAAGTGTGTAGAGGTGTGTGTGTAGGTGTGTGTAAGTGTATAGAGGTGTGTGTAGGTGTGTAAGTGTACGGAGGTGTTCGGGTGAGTAACCCTGGCAGCGCAACGCTGCTGGCGTCTCGTGCTGCCGCCTGTACCGCGCCTTGTCCACCAGAGGGCATCGCCTACCCACGGGTTGTGTGGCGTCAGGGTGAGAAGTGGAGGGTGGGGGGAGGGGTCCGGGGATGGGGGGGGCTGCTGCTGCAGCGCTCAGCAAGGGGTCGTGCTTGGTGCACCACTGCCAATTCTTTATTGCATCGATCTATCTCATTCTTTGTCTCTGCTTCTATTTCCTTGCGCCCGAGTATGCACCGCTACTTGTGGTACCCTCTCTGTATTCATTGGAGAGCCACGTCCAAACCACTAAATCTTCTTGTTTCTTGTGTGAAGCCCTCTCCAATATTTTATTTGATTTCTGCAAAAGGGCTGCTGCCATGACTGTGGAATGGTTGTCACGATTGACTTAAAATGTCGCGGTTCGATCTCCCAGCCTGGCCTTGAAAACATTGACCAGGATTCTTACAATTCCCTGTTTTTGTCCACCCACAGTCCATCAGTGGGTCGCGTGCAATGGGCTAAATGGCGAGTACTCCCACCTCTTTCAAGACATATGGTCAGTGTGGAAAAGTTGGCCAAAACATACCCACCGGATCGGCACTCTAGACCTCCCTCTAGTGGGGGTTCTTTCACCAGCAGTTGCATGAGCAAGTAATTGCAGGGCTGCACCATTAACCTCACGTGCACAACAATAATCTGGTTTACGTGCATTTCAGAACTCCTTGATCCAGACCCCAGCATCCCAGTGGTGCAGGATCAGTGCTCTGCATCGGTGTTACCATTACGCCGTTGCTCCTCTGCAACCCCGTGCCACCCGTTGCCGCGTGTGACGTCGCTGCGCCCTGTGCACCGCACGTGTCCCCAGCCCCTGCCGCTGCTCCGCCGGGACACCGGCTTGATGCTGACGATGTCTCAGGCGCAGGCCGCCTGCCTCCTGGCCAACGCCTTCTTCTGCACGTTCCCCCGGAGCAACGCCACCGGAACCCGGAGCGAGGACTCTGCCTGCCCCGACATCAACGTCAACAGGTGCAGCAGCAGCAGCCCATCACTGTGCATTACACACCGAACACCGTGTGTCATGCAGTACACACACACAGATGCAATGCTCTCTCTACGTGTAATAATCCTTCTGAGACGGCTTCGGAATCGGTCCTCTTTATTTTCACTTCCACAATACACTTTACTCACACACTCTCTGTTGCTGGCAGACAACAGAGAGCGGGCAGACTTCACACCAGTTCCCACCGCGCACGTGGCACCCAGAGCCCCCGTACGCGCGTGGCTCTGTTCGTTCCCCAGTCTGCTCCCGATCGTTCTCTCTCACTCTCTCTTAATCCTTCCATCACGTGGTCCCCCCAGCCAATCCTCCATGGACAGCCTTGACCATTCTCGATGGTTCCCTGTCAATCCCGGGACCACGCCTCTCATCCGGCTCCCCATTAGCTGGGGCCCCGAATGGCTAGGCCAATCACTCCTGATGACATGCCGTGATCACGCCGGGGTCATGCTCCCTATCTCAACCCTTATTGGCTACAAAGCAGGACCGGCAAGCCAATCCCCACGTGAACCCTCTATGGCTGTTATTACATATGTAGAGTATTTCTTGCTGTATATGTAGCGTCGGAAATGCAAAGCACACACCACCTGTAGTTGCGGGCACGAGTCGACAGGGGGTGCCACCCTGAGTTAGAGAGAGAACCGGGACCGTTGAGAGGCCGAGTTCCCCCCCCCGACCCCAGGTGAGGGGTTGGGGGGTTATTCCAGAGCCACCTCTACTGTGTGGTGGACCGGCTACCACACAGCAGCACGAGTCGGAGGAGTGAACGGATGGTTCTCCCTATGCGGGCCAGACTCCCTCGCTTCCTCTTCTCCTCCTGCATCATCACCTGATCCTCTTTCCTTGTCATCTCTTTCTCCACCATCTTCTCCACCAATGTCTCCTCCACCTGCACCACCATCTCATCCTCCTGCTCCTTCGTCCATAACTCCTCTGTCTCCCCCCTCATCTCCTCTTCTTCCTGCACCACCAGCTCTTGCACCAGGGTCTCCTCCTCCTGCACCACCAGCTCCTCCACCAAGGTCTCCTCCTCCTGCACCACCAGCTCCTCCACCAGGGTCTCCTCCTCCTGCACCACCAGCTCCTCCACCAGGGTCTCCTCCTTCTGCACCACCAGCTCCTCCACCAGGGTCTCCTCCTCCTGCACCACCAGCTCCTCCAACAGGGTCTCCTCCTCCTGCACCACCAGCTCCTCCACCAGGATCTCCTCCTCCTGCACCACCAGCTCCTCCACCAGGGTCTCCTCCTCCTGCACCAACAGCTCCTCCACCGGAGTCTCCTCTTCCTCCACAACAACCGTCAGCCATTTAGGCCTGGGCAAGCGCGGAGGATGGGGGCAGCGCCGCCTCCGCTCTGTAAAGAGATGCGCACGACACCGTTCCAACTTCCTGCTACAGCAGAGATTGCACTCCCCCCCCCCACCATCAGTTAACCCTGGGGGGGCATGGGGGTGCTGTGATCCCCCATAGCCCCACCCCTCGGAGAGGATTCTTATAAAAGGCGGGGAGCCAGAGGGCTCGAGGCCAATGTGTGAGAAGCTTACCATTGAAGACTGAAGACCGGCAGAATAGGCCCTGGAACTCCCCTGGCTCGCTGTCCTTGTCAGGGCCGAGCAGGGCAAGTGGCGCGGCCCCAAGAGCTCCAGGACCGCTGCTCTTGTAAGAGCACGGCCTGGTTAGCTGGGTGCCGGGATCCGTGCTTGACCAGGGCCGGATCAGATAGCCTCCCCTAGCACTCATAGCGGAGGACTGGGAATAGGAGAAGTCAGGGGATAGTACTAGGGGTGTTTCCCATTGAGTACGGGTGAAGGCGCCGTTACCCCTTCAAGTAATGTTACCGCCTTTTGGTTAAATAAAAGAGTGTGCCTCAACTACGTCGTCTGTCTCCCTGATAACTCACTACACTTGTATAAGTGTAGTGTATTGTGTCGTGTATAGTGGAGTGTGTAGGTTAAACGTTGAGTTTTATAAGGGCACCACGGGGTGACCAGCCCCTCCACACCCAGCCCCACCCCTCCCACCCACCCACCCTCCCACCCAGCCCCACCCTCCCCACCCAGCCCCTTCCCTCCTCCCCCAGCCCCTCCCCACCCTCCCCCAGCCCCTCCCCACCCTCCCCTCTCCACCCAGCCCCACCCCTCCCACCCCCACCCTCCCCTCCCCATGCACGACAGACAAATAATCCCTGGTGGGCAGTGTGGAATCTGTTGTTCCTACCGGTATAAAAGTGGGAAATATCTGAACCGGTCCTGGGCCTCCCCTTGGTCGACTCAACCTCAAATGAGTACCTGATGCAGTGTGTACACATCACCACGAGGGAGACAAATGCGTGGTGTTGGCCACCCACTCCCCTGTGTACTGTGCCAGTCCTCATTAGGCGCTCACTAACACCACTTGCCTCAAAAATCTGTTAAAGCTATGAGGGGGATCTTTGTCTTTGTACAGTGGCATTGGCTACATATAAACTGATACTTTGAACGGAGTTTATAATACAGCACGGCCTATGTGTAACGCATCATATACCGTGTACACAACACCATGAAAGTGTGTGCCGTATAATACAGAGTAAAGGAGCATAGCCTGTGCACGTACTGCAGCGTTACTTTGAACTGAAACGTGGCATGGCCGTTATGTGTAGAACAGCATTTCTTGTGTATATGTAGTGGGTTCCCACGGAGACTGGAGACGTAGCTTAGAGGCAACACGGTTTATTTAAATCTTATAACATAAGCCCCTTTTACTCCCACTACTTGGGGAGGTATGGCCTCCGGGCTAACGTGCCCTATCACTGGGGCTACGGGCTCTGAGTCCTCCGACTAAGGGTGGCCTAGGGGAGGCTATGCTGACCCGACCCAGCCAAGGTGCAGGTCTCGACCACTGGTCCGTGCTCGGCCCCGCCGCTTAAAAGGACGTCGTGTCCCAGGGTCCCGGGGTCCCAGGGTCCCAGCCTAGCCGGTCTTCAGTCTTCAGAGCACTGCCTCAGGCCGTCCTGGGGTCCGTCTTTTATACCCACCTCGGGGACTCTCCACTCCCGGAAGAGGAGATGAGGGGGGAGACAGAGGAGGTATGGACGAAGGAGCAGGAGGATGAGATGGTGGTGCAGGTGGAGGAGACATTGGTGGAGAAGATGGTGGAGAAAGAGATGACAAGGAAAGAGGATCAGGTGATGATGATGCAGGAGGAGAAGAGGAAGCGAGGGAGTCTGGCCCACATAGGGAGAACCATCCGTTCACTCCTCCGACGCGTGCTGCTGTGTGGTGGCCGGTCCACCACACAGTAGAGGTGGTGGTGGTTACGGATCGTTGTGAACCACAACCACTATCACCATACCCACCACACACACCCTGCACCCATTCACCCCCCTGTGATACCCACCACCCACCGCACACCACACACACCCTGCACCCACCCACCCCATGATCCCACCCCCACCACATTCCACACAAAGGGTTAGCATATGTTGTGGAATTTTCAGTCTTCCCACTTCTTGAAATTATTTTTGCTCATATTAACCTTCCTCATAAGTTCTGCAATGGCTTTTCGTCTCTCATCTCCATCTGGATATTTTTCAGCAAAGGCTGTGTGTTTATTCTGGAAATGTCTTGCAATATTCGACTTTTTGTTGTTTGCAAATTTCTCACCACATATTAAGCATACTGGTAAACCAGTCTCGTCAGTAGAATGCAATGATTCTGTCCATGAGGAGCGGAGCTGATGGAGGCAGCCATGTTTTGCGTTACCTAGCAACGGCAACGTTATTGCCTGTCACCGGGCGGGCAGTGTGGAGCGGAGCGGCGACCTGTCAGCAGCGGTAACGCCAGAGCAGGTGTCACAGTGCGCCTCCTCCCCTCGCTAGCATCCGCCCCGGAGCCGCGGTCAAGGTTCAAAAGAGCCGCATGCGGCTCCGGAGCCGCAGGTTGCCGACCCCTGGGTTAGGGGTTTAGAGGGTTAGGGATTTATAAAGTTAAGGGTTTAGAGGTTTCAGGTTATTTCAGGGATAAGGGGTTTAGAGGTTTAGGGATTTCGAGGGTTATAGGGTTTAGGGGTTGAGGGGATTCGAGAGTTAGGGGTTTAGAGGGTTGGGGTTTAGAGGGTTAGGTGTTTAGAGGATTAGGCTATTTGGGGTACGGGGTTTTAGAGGGTTAGGGTTTTCAGGGTAAAGGGGTTTAAGGGTAAAGGAGTTTAGATGGTAAAGGGGTTTAGAGGGTTAGGGGTTTATAGGGTTTTGGGTTTACAGTGAGGGAAAAAAGTATTTGATCCCCTGATGATTTTGTATGTTTGCCCACTGACAAAGAAATGATCAGTCTATAATTTTAATGGTAGGTTTATTTGAACAGTGAAAGACAGAATAACAACAAAATCCAGAAAAACGCACGTCATAAATGTTATAACTTCATTTGCATTTTAATAATGGAAATAAGTATTTGACCCCTCTGCAAAACATGACTTAGTGCTTGGTGGCAAAATCCTTGTTGGCAATCAGAGGTCAGACGTTTCTTGTAGTTGGCCACCAGGTTTGCACACATCTCAGGAGGGATTTTGTCCCACTCCTATTTGCAGATATTCTCCAAGTCATTAAGGTTTCAAGGCTGACGTTTGGCAACTCAAATCTTCTGCTCCCTCCACAGATTTTCTATGGGATTAATGTTTGGAGACTGGATAGGCCAGTCCAGGACCTTAATGTGCTTCTTCTTGAGCCACTCCTTTGTTGCCTTGGCCGTGTGTTTTGGGTCACTGTCATGCTGGAATACCCATCCACGACCCATTTTCAATGCCCTGGCTGAGGGAAGGAGGTTCTCACCCAATATTTGACGGGACCTGGCCCCGTCCATCGTCCCTTTGATGCGGTGAAGTTGTCCTGTCCCCTTAGCAGAAAAACACCCCCAAAGAATAATGTTTCCACCTCCATGTTTGACGGTGGGGATGGTGTTCTTGGGGTCATAGGCAGCATTCCTCCTCCTCCAAACATGGCGAGGAGTTGAGTTGATGCCAAAGAACTCCATTTTCGTCTCATCTGACCACAGCACCTTCACCCAGTTGTCCTCTGAATCATTCAGATGTTCATTGGCAAACTTCAGACGGGCATGTATATATGCTTTCTTGAGCAGGGGGACCTTGCGGGCGCTGCAGGATTTCAGTCCTTCACGGCATAGTGTGTTACCAACTGTTTTCTTGATGACTATGGTCCTAGCTGCCTTGAGATCATTGACAAGATCCTCCTGTGTAATTCTGGGCTGATTTCCTCACCGTTCTCCACGAGGTGAGATCTTGCATGGAGCCCCAGGCCAAGGGAGATTGACAGTTATTTTGTGTTTCTTCCATTTGCGAATAATCGCACCAACTGTTGTCACCTTCTCACCAAGCTGCTTGGCGATGGTCTTGTAGCCCATTCCAGCCTTGTGTAGGTCTACAATCTTGTCCCTGACATCCTTGGAGAGCTCTTTGGTCTTGGCCTTGGTGGAGAGTTTGGAATCTGATTGATTGATTGCTTCTGTGAACAGGTGTCTTTTATACAGGTAACAAGCTGAGATTAGGAGCACTCCCTTTAAGAGTGTGCTCCTAATCTCAGCTCGTTACCTGTATAAAAGACACCTGGGAGCCAGAAATCTTTCTGATTGAGAGGGGGTCAAATACTTATTTCCCTCATTAAATGCAAATCAAGCTATAACATTTTTGACATGCGTTTTTCTGGATTTTGTTGTTGTTATTCTGTCTCTCACTGTTCAAATAAACCTATTAAAATTATAGACTGATCATTTCTTTGTCAGTGGGCAAACGTACAAAATCAGCAGGGGATCAAATACTTTTTTTTTCCTCACTGTAAGGGTTTAGGTTAAGGGTTCAGTGGGTTAGAGGTTTGGGGGTTTATGGGTTAGGATTTTAGAGGGTGATGGGTTTAGACCGTTATGGTTTTAAGGGTAAAGGGGTTTTGAGGGTTGGGTTTTAGAGGGTTACAGTTTAGAAGGATATGGGTTTAAAGGATTCTCGGTTTAGAGAATTAGGTGTTTAGATATTTTATGGGGTTTATTGTTAAAGGGGTAGTGGTTTAGAGGGTTAGGAGTTTATAAGGTTTAGGGGTGTAGAGGTATCGGGGTTTCAAGGGTTAGTGATTTACAGTGTTAGGGGTTTAGTGGTTTGAGAGTTGAGGGTTTAACACCTAGACTTTCACAACTAATATTGTCCATAATAAAGTTTTTTTTTGGGTTAGTCTCCAACACTAAATGGCACTTTTTGTTGATGTGACAAATTTTACTAATTGACTGTTTCGGGTGGTGGTTGGTTTAACGACATGTTTATATTTACATAATCTAACAAAAAAAAACCTTTATGGGTTTAGAGGGTTCCGGGTGTAGT